AACGCATCTGTCTAGGCAAAAATGTGTACATAAATGTTGAGAATTTCATTCATCTTCTATTTATAAGTTAATTTTTAATTAGACGTGATTTTACAAAATTGTTCATAATATAGTTTCAGGCATACAATGTTCCCCCTCCCAATTCCACCACCATTCCCATGATCCCATGCCCCTATGCCTCTACCAATATCCCAGGTTCCCTTCCACCTCCACAACCTCAATCCTTGTCAGACACACTTTAAAATTTAATTATTGTAGTCAGGGACCCATATAGTAACATTATCTTAACACTTTAAAAAAATGGAACCAATTCAAGGCTTGTTATAAAATCCATCGAGTAGATAAACAAAATGTGGTACATTTATATGGAATTTTATTTACTATTTTAAAAGATGAGGTATGTACACACGGTATAATACAAATGAATCTCAAATAGCAAATCTACGAAAAGAGAAACTTGATTTGTGGTTGCAGGAGCTAGGATATAAGGTAGATATAAGGTAGAATGGAAAAGTAATTGTTTATGAGATATTGGACTTCCTTAGAGGGTGATGAAATGTCCAGAAATGATTGTTCACGCTGTGCTTATGATACAACCATGCAACTCATACTTTAAAATCATGAGTTTTGTTAAGTAAATTTTATCAGCATTTTTTTTAAAACATAATTATACCTTCAGTAAAAATTCTAAACAGTTGTTTACACTATAGACTTTTTCATACTCAGGGTTAACTGCCTCATCTCTAAGACAGGATAATAATAGTACCATTCTAAGAGGCTTGAAGAAAATTAGTATATAAGAAGCACTCAGAATGGTGCCTGTCAGGCTCTCACAGTGTCGGGGATGTTTTACCTCTCCCATCTTCCTGTTCTTCCATGAATGTGAATGTCCACCCGTGGCGCCATACAAGCTCATTAACTGATCCAGAGACTCATAAACAAATCTTGAAAGAGATCAACAAGTTGCAGAGAAGCTTTCAGACCCCAAAGTCACCATCCAGTTTAAAAATTTAACTACAAAATTTTAGAATTCCTGGAGCAAGCAGCCACAACATCTCATACTCTACACCACTGATATACCAAGAATACATACTACATTGGATGGGATGTAAAGTAAAAGGCAATCAATCTCATTTACAAAAATATTAACACACAAGGCTTACCCTGTAACAACATGTCAGTAATCACTTATAAAAGGGCTTACTGGCTCAAGGGTGAGACACAACAATCTTCACACACTTTCTTCTAAGGAAATCTTTTTTGATTATTTTTATTGATGGGATTACACGGCGCCAGGGGGCCAGGTGGTGGGTGTGACCCCCGCCTACTGGAATTTGGAGGATCTGGGTAGAGGATGCTCGACCCCAATCCGAGTAGGCTTGGAGATCTCGGCCCCGAATCCGCGTGGCTTTGTCCCTCTGCCAGTACCTTCATGTGTGCGGAGAGTGGTCTTGGCATGGTGGTGGCTGGTCCTGGAGGTCTTCTGCTGCCGGAGCCCTGGTTGGGGTGGGGCTCCGGCAGCAGACCAAGACTCAGAGACTATAACATCCAGCTCCCGGAACCGCATTCGCGGCCGTGCGACATCTTATCAGGACATCTTTTTATGACATTTTATTATCTCACTCCTACTTTGGACAAAGTTGCAGGCTATCGAATGTAGCCTGCCCACAGGGCAGAGTCTGGCAAACTCCCCGTGGCGTACCAAATATGCCAAATACCAGTAACAATGATGGGTCTCATTCTCCTAAAGAGCCGTGAATATAATCTCAGGGCTAGGATGAAAGAGACGTTACTGGGGCCTGCTCGAGGAAATCGACGAATAACAGGATGATGAAAAAAAATGAAAAAAAAATTTTTAGTGAATTATTCATAACAAGCAATCACTTGATCACCTGACATCCAATTTGCTCGAGCGGGCACCAGTAATGTCTCCATTTGTCCCTGTCGCATGCTAGTGTAGCCCAGTGGCATCTGCTTGCTCCAGGAACACGAACAGCCTCAAACTGATCACTCAGGGTCTTGACAAATAAGTCTGACCATCTTGTAGGTGGCCATGCGATCTTTTGATGTCCCGTGGAATACAGTTGGTAATGACTCTAGTCCAGCGGTTGTCTCCAAATCATATTACGAGTCCAGCCCATCTGATTTTCAATGCCTTGGCAAACGAGACAGCGTTCCTGATTCCGGAGGTCGGAACTCAGGATTCCTTCTCTCACTTGAGTGAAGTATGATACTTCAAGCATAGCTCTTTCGATTCCTCTTTGGGAGACCCAAAGAGCGTTCTCATCCTGTTTTCGTAGGGTCCAGGTCTCTGAGGCGTATGTTAGTGCAGGAAGAACGGTGGAGTTGAAGAGATGTGCCCAGAGCTGGAGGTTCTTTGTCCTCTTAGCTATTTCTTTGACACTCTTGAAGGCGTTCATTCCGCTCTCTTCCTCCTGCGCAGCTCAGGTGCCAGGTCGTTCGTCATGTTGACTTCTCGACCCAGGTACACATAACTGCTGCATTCGGAGATGTTCGTTCCACTGAGAGCAAATGGAACGTTAGAGACTAGTCCATTTCTCATGAAGTCCGACCTTTCCACACTCACGGTAGAAGTCAGCCAGCATTTGTGCCGCTTGGCACATTTGGTGTTATTAGAACAATGTCATCAGCAAAGTAGAGATGGTGTAGTTGCTGACAATCTATCTTCATTCCCATTTCTTCCCATTCCAGTTGTCACATGACGTTCTCGAGAGTGGCACTTAAGAGTTTCGGTGAAATGGTATCACCCTGCCGAACCCCTCTCTTTACATTGATGATCACTCCCTTGTAGAATGGTGAGATCCTGGTGGTGAATCCAGAATACAGCTCATGGAGGATCATGATGTACTGAATTTGAACGCCCTGTTTGGCTAGGGCTTTGATGACCGCTTCAGTCTCAACAGAATCAAAGGCCTTCTTTAAAGCAACGAACGTTAGACAGAGCGGCATCTTGAACTCCCAAGAAACCTCAATGAGCTTGGTCATCATGTGAATATGATCAATCATACCAAATCCTTTTTGGAACCCGGCTTGCTCGAATGGTTGTCCTTCATCTAGTGTTCTGTCAATTCTATTCAGGATGACTCAATATAAAATAAATTATTTAGGGCCTGCTATTGGGGCAGGAGGTTGGGTGGAGGTTGGGAAAATTGAAAATAATACTGGTGGGAAGGTGTAATGGTGGTGGGATTGCTGTTGGAATATTGATTGTAATAAATCATCATGAATGACCTTACAAATTTTTTTAAAAAATTAGCACAGCAGTAGGGCATTTGCTTTGCACGCAGCCAGCCCGGCCGAGTTGGGTTCGATTCCTCCGCCCCTCAGAGAGCCCGGAAAGCTACCGAGAGTATCTCGCCTGCACAGCAGAGCCTGGCAAGCTACCTATGACATATTCGATATGCCAAACACAGTAACAACAAGTCTCAAAATGGAGACGTTACTGGGCCTGCTCAAGCAAATCGATGAACAACAGGAGGGCAGTTGTTTGTTTGTTTGTTTGTCTGTTAAAAAATGGTGCCTGTCAGCTCTTGATAACTGTTCGCTATTAATTGTAGTATTGTATTTGCAATCTAATAGGAATAGGAAAAAATGTCATATTCTATTTTCAAATCAGAGTCTTAGTGGTCACTTTAACAAGTGGTAAATATATTTGGCTGAAACCAAGAAAGAGGGCCAAGAAGATAGCTCAAAGGGTTGCAGTTCAAAGTCTGTATGCTTTTCTGGATTCAGTCAACAGTATCACATGGTCTCCCCAGCTCCCTCACTCTTAGAAGGAACCCTCAAGCACTGCGCCAGGAGTAGTATGGAGTAGCACAGGGTGTGGCCCAAACAGATAACGAAAAACCAAGACCAAGTAATAACATTAATTAATTACATCAAGAAGGAAAAAGCACAAGCTGATTTTATGTGGCTGACATTGTGGGCACTAGATACACATACCAAAAAAAAAAAACAACTAAGGGATAAACTAGAAGATCCACATAAGAAGATTAAAGAAGTTGACAGGGAACTGGATAATTTTCTAGTTCCTTTGAATTATGAACAGATATACATACTCACAGAGCCACTTCATAGTAGTGCTTAAAATACTGTGAGTTTCTAGAATATTTCTCAATGCTTAAGGAGAAGTTAAACAAATTCTGAAACCAGATGAAGGTTCTGGACTTCTTGAGACTAGAAACAGACAGTTTCTTTCAAATTAACTAGTTTTGGAGTTAATAATAATTGTTGCATATGGATTGAGAGTAAAAAAATAGAAATGTTTTCAGGGAAGGACAGGGAGCCAGCAAAACTAAACTACTGAAAGGAGGTGGTGAAAACCTTTAAGTATTCACTTTCATGCCAAACAACACAGGTGAGGCAGCCCATAAAAAGATAAAATTCCAACCAATACCAAGCACTATAAATAGCACCTAAAGCCATAACTTAAAGAAGGCACTCCAAAGGCAATGAAAGTGTATGCGTTTATCATATTAGTACTGCTCTTTTTTGGTCATCTGGAAACAGAAATAAGAGCACATTACCAAATATTTATTAGTCTACAATATTGAACAGTCTACCATGTTCAACAAACCATGATATATAAATACTTTTTATGGTTATAAACCATCGGCTGTATAAGAAAAAAACCTATTCTAAAACTTTCAATAAAATTTTCCTATCTGAAAATAATCAAATAGGAGATTAGATAAAAATGATTCTATACGATAAAGAGGACCAGTGAGATAGTACAACAGGTAAGGTGACTGCCTTGCATGTGGCTGACCCAGGTTCAATCCCTGGCATCATTTGCAGTCCCCCAAGCACCACAGAGATGATCCCTGAGAACAGAGCCAGGAGTAAGTCCTCAGCACCAGTGGACAAGGCCCAAAAACCAAACAAATAAAGCTATTATTGGAGAAAGAGCAATCATTGCTAAGACTAGGGTCATGTTACTGAAGACATCACAATGACCATTACTTGTAGTTCAGACCTACCTGTGTCTGAGCTTTTTCTTCCCATCCTGAATCGAAGCTGTCTGCCACGGAGGACCTTGGCAAGGTGGTTAGCTGTCCAGTGCTGTGCTGGCCAATCAGAAACCATGTTACAGAAGATTACAGGTTGTCTTGAAGACATTATAATTTCTTTTGCCTTCTCTGGTGCAAATGGCTTGGTATGTTTAGCTATGGAGAGAAATAATAGAGCATTAGATGATTATAAAGGTTACTTAATCTGATGTGAATAAATGTCATCATTTCTATTTGGCAAGTCTTTCTGTGTAATTATGCTGCATTTGCACTTCACTTATTACTTACTACAAATACTTGGCTTCAGAGAACCATAATTCTTCAATGATTTTTCTCATTTTAAATCTTAACTGTTAGGAAATAATTGGTCTTCAGTGCCAAAAATGAAGTTTAGGGGTTTAAAAATTTTTCTGACATTTAGAATTTGAAATGCGATTTACTAAAATATTTCCAGAAGATTATATTAAAACGCTAATGGGAACTACTCTAGAACTAGATTTGTTGGAGTCAGCAATAATTTTAGTTGCTACATCCTGTTTAAGTGAAAGACTGCTGAATACAGCAATTCAATAGGGACATTAGATGTGGAGGGGGACTCAAAAATTTAGGGCCACGGATATAGCTTATTTGTAGAAATATGCCTTGTATGTGCAAGACCCTGGGTTCAAACCCCAATATCACATAAAAAATTAGAAATACAAGAATTAGCTAAATAAAATAACAAATACATTGCTTATAAAAACATCTTAAGATTAGAGTTTTGGGGAAAGTTAAAGTGATTTAAGGGCTTAAGAGAGCACTCAATCGGCTGGGCACATGTGCTGCGTGCAAGATGGCCCAGGTTCAATCTCCAGCACTGCACTGTCCCCTGAGCGCCACTGAAAGTGACTCCCAAAAGTGACTCCCAAGCTCAGAACTGAGGGTAACCCCCAAGCACTGCCTGGTGTGGCTGAAAATTTGGTCCCTTCCCCAAATGTTACATATTTTGACCCAAAATAACCAGATACATAGTGATCTCTAGAACAATTTGCTAGATCTTGTACACCAAGAAAAAAAAAACCCACTAAAAAGCTCACAAATCACGCAAATTCTCATACCATTCAACTTTTAGTCTAAACTTCTTTAAAAAGAAGACAAATGAGGAAGAACTCATTGAGAAACTTTAGCAATTTGTACTTGTTAGAACTATAAGACTTCTTTTCAAAGAAAATAAAAAGTTTAAATCAATTTGGCCTCCTTTCTTAGACAAGGACAAAAACTTGAAATTCTTTCCCACATTCCTGGTGAAAGTGAGCAGCAGCCTCAAGTCCTTGGCAGTGAACATTTAAGAATGATCTATCACCTTCTTTCTGCACAGTCAGCATGCCCCACTGAGTCCAGTGTGGAGGCTTAAGGGGGAAAGGCATATAAGAGAGTTGGAAATTCCCTTGATGAGGGGATGTGGGGAGAAGCACCCCAAAGTTTTAATGTAAAACAAAGTCCCAATTTGACCTTTAAATGAAAAGGAATCCTGCTTAAGAAAATGGGTTGTTCAGGGGATCGGAGCAGATAGTTCGGTGGGTAGAGCGCTTGCACATGGCCACCCCTGTCAATCCCTGGCATCCCGTAAGGTCCCCTGGGACTGCCAGGAATAATCCCTGAGCACAAAGCTAGGAGTAAGCCTTGAGTACTGCAGGGTATGGCCCAAATCTTTACAGCCAAAAAACTAAAAAGGGAGATGGGGTGAGAGAGAGGGGGGAGAGAAAGAGAAAGAGAAGAGATTGATGGGTTGTTCAGTTAGTTCAAAAGGCTGGGGTCCCCACTGCCAGGAGTTACTTTGCCAGGATTAACCCCTATTTGCCACTGCCCTCATTGTCACTGCCGTCACTGCCAGGAGTAACCCCTCTAGACCATGCCCTTAAGCACTGCTAGGTGTGGAGAAGGAAGGAAGGGACGGAGGGAGAAAAACTAAAGAACAGAGAAATGAAAGAAAGGAAGGAAGGAAGGAAGGAAGGAAGGAAGGAAGGAAGGAGGTCTTTAACTAGTAATAAAATGTTCTTTGGCATTTAAAAATGTTTACATTTATGATAAATTCACATTCAAGATCTTAAAGCATATCAATCTATAAATCTAAGAACAAAGCTGCCTAGCTTGCAAAGCCCATGTACTCCTGGACAAAAGTGCCTGAATTTTGTGTATATGAAAATGCTGCAAATTTTTTATTTTAATGAATCATCGTGAGATACAGTTACAGACCTACAAATTTTCATGATTACATTTCAAACAATGTACAAGTACCCATCGCTCCGCCAGTGCCCATTCTCTCTCTCTCTCTCTCTCTCTCTCTCTCTCTCTCTCTCTCTCTAATTTTATTGAATCACCATGAAATAGTTACAAGCTTTCATGATTGGGTTACAATCACAAAATGATCAAACACCCATCCCTCCACCAGTGCACATTCCCCCTCACCAATATCCCTGGTATATCCCCCCCTTTCCCCATCCTCCCCCTGCCTCCATGGCAGACAATATTTCCCATACTTTGTCTCTACTTTTGGGCATTATGGTTTGCAATACAGACACTGAGAGGTTATCATGCTTGGTCCTTTATCTACTTTCAGCACACATCTCCCATCCCGACCGGTTCCTCAAGCCATCATTTTTGTAGTGATCCCTTCTCTATTCCAGCTGTCTTCTCCCCTTTGTTCATGAGGCTGACTTCTAGTAGTCTTCCTGTCCTGTGTATCTACTATCCTTAGGTGTCAGTCTCGTGTTATGTTGTTTTATACTCCACAAATGAGTGCAGTCCTTCTATGTCTGTCTCTCTCTTTCTAACTCATTTCTCATAGCATGATATTCTCCATGTCTATCCATTATAAGCAAAGTTCATGACTTTATCTCTCCTAACAGCTGTATAGTATTCCATTGTGTAGATGTACCAAAGTTTCTTTAACCAGACATCTGTTCTAGGGCACTTGAGTTGTTTCCAGATTTTGACTACTGTGAACAGTGGTGCAATGAACTTTTTAGGTACAGATATAATTTTCACTGTGCTTTTTTGCATCCTTGGGATATACTCTCAGAAGTGGTATTGCAGGGTCATATGGAAGCTCAATTTCTAGTTTTTTTTTAATTAATTAATTTATTGAATCACCGTGGGAAAGGTTACAAAGCTTTCAGGTTTAGGTCTCAGTCATGCAAATATCAAACACATTTCCCTTTACCAATACTTATTTTTTACCATGACAAACCCCAATAAAACCCCACCCCCCACCCCTCCCAGTCCCTGTGGGGCAGATGAATTCTAGTTAACACTCTATCTGCTTTGATTAGATTCATTGTTTCAATAAAAGATTCACCACTATTATTTAGAGTTTACCCCCCCCAAATCAGACATGCTGAAAAAGCATTGTGAAGTGATTTGCTTTCTACAGCTGGGTTCAAGAATTAAATGTTGGTTTTGGATTTCTGCTATTTTACTTATTGACCCTGGAAGTATTTCTACTGAAAGTCAGATAATTAAGAAATTGGTTTCTGTGCTCTGGAGTCGTGGCCGTGCTGGAGAGCCGCTAGTGGGGGGCAACTGGTGGCCTCAGTAGGGCGTGAAGGGCGGACCAAAACGCCCCCCTTCCCATGAGGTTTTAGTCGCCCCCACTCCCCCAGCTCATACCTGCTGTCCACAAGGCTCCCATGCGGCCGCCATCTTTCTTTCCAGAGAGGAGAAGGCGACTGGGGCAACACCCTTTCCCCTCCGGACAGACCTGATGGCCTGGATTAACGCATAGTCCGTTCACTTTTCTGCTCCAAGCTGTCGGATTCTGCATTAAGTCCTTGTGCTTCTGGGGCCGTGGCCGTGCTGGAGAGCCGCTCGCAGGGGGCAACTGGTGACCTCGGTAGGGCGTGAAGGACGGACCGGAACGCCCCCCTTCCCATGAGGTTTTAGTCGCCCCCACACCCCCGGCTCATACCTGCTGTCCACAAGGCTCCCATGTGGCCGCCATCTTTCTTTCCAGAGGGAGGTGGGTGGAAGGGACCAACACCCTTTCCCCTCCGGGCAGACATGATGGCCTGGGTTAACGCATAGTCCTTTCACTTTTCTGCTCCAAGCTGCTGGGTTCTGCATTAAGTCCTTGTGCTTCTGGGGCCATGGCCGTGCTGGAGAGCCGCTCGTGGGGGGCAACTGGTGACCTCGGTAGGGCGTGAAGGATGGACTGGAACGCCCCCCTTCCCATGAGGTTTTAGTCGCTCCCACACCCCCGGCTCATACCTGCTGTCCACAAGGCTCCCATGCAGCCGCCATCCTTCTTTCCAGAGAAGAGAGGGCGAATGGGGCAACACCCTTTCCCCTCTGGCAGACTTGATGGCCTGGATTAATGCATAGTCCTTTCACTTTTCTGCTCCAAGCTGCTGGGTTCTGCATTAAGTCCTTGTGCTTCTGGGGCCATGGCCGTGCTGGAGAGCCGCTCGTGGCGGGCAACTGGTGACCTCGGTAGGGCGTGAAGGACGGACTGGAACGCCCCCCTTCCCATGAGATTTTAGTTGCCCCCACTCCCCCGGCTCATGCCTGCTGTCCACAAGGCTCCCATGTGGCCACCATCTTTCTTTCCAGAGAGGAGAGGGCGAATGGGGCAACACCCATTCCCCTCCGGACAGACATGATGGCCTGGATTAACGCATAGCCCGTTCACTTTTCTGCTCCAAGCTGCTGGGTTATGCATTAAGTCCTTGTGTTTCTGGGGCTGTGGCCATGCTCCAAACTTAACTATGATTTTCAGGGAGAAACGTTGGGTGGTTTACTTCCCATGGATCACTTTGTGTATAGAGAGATGTCGCGCGACTGCGTAAGCGGCCGTGTGGTTTTGAGGAAAAGTCCTAGTTCCCGCATACTCGAGCTGTGGTTGTAGAGGCTTCTGGTCACCGGGGTTCCATCTGGGGGAGGCGGGATGCGGTACCTACCCCATCTGGGACTTCCCGATGATCTCGGCTCTTTTTGGAACCTGTTTTTTTTTTTCCCCCCCTTCGGGATCTGTGGATCCCGCCCTCCATGTTGTCCTTCTCTTTGGCTGAATGCTGTAAATATGGCACTGGGGGGCGGGCTGTGGGCGTGACTTCCGGAATCTGAGGTTACCTGGGAGTTGTAGTCCCGGCAGATTTGAGGAAAAGTCCTAGTTCCCGCAT